AGGAAGGAAGGAAGGAAGGACGGAAGGAAGGAAGGAAGGAAGGAAGGAAGAAAGGAAGGAAGGAAGGAAGGAAGGAGTTACAGGACTCCACAGCAGCCATCCCACAGCCTGGGCTTCCCGATTTACATTCTCACTGCCCACAGGGTGACTTTTTCCACTTTCCTTATGCTTAATTATTCTTCCCTTGCCCAGTCAGGACGCAGTGTGGTTTGTAGAATGAAGAAAGGGAAAGATGTCCTCTTGTTCACCAGGTGCAACGAAAGCAGGCCAAGAGSTCTGTGCTTCAGCTCTCCTTAATTTATTTCAAGACTCCCTTGTTCACAGTAGTTCAAAAAATCCACTTCAGAGCAACTGCTTCATACTTAATATTGCTTGAGATGCAATAATGCAAACTTGCCAGATTATTCCAAGACAGTCTCCCAACAAACATGGAGAAGTGCAGCAAATCTTAAGCTAAGCCCTCAGATAATGCTTCTTCTATCTCTAACTGAAGCAAGGCATAAAAGGTCAATCTGACTATTTCTCCTATATTTGTGATCAACTGTCATCAAAGAAACAGTTCTCAAAATCCAAGACTGGAGTTACTCTCCAGTCAGGAGAGCAGTAACCAGAACTCCATGACCGCTGTGCAAGCAGTTCCTTATCTGGACTGTGGAAGGGTCAGCCAAACCCAGCCCAATGTCAATGCTCGTTCCATCTTTTGTCAGTAGCCTAAATAAATCTACACATTTTCCAATTTTAATCTATAGAACTTCTACAATGGAATAAATTCTTCCTCTTAATACCAAACCAAATTAAAAAGAAACAGAAGCAAGAGAATTCTTCAATCAGGTAACAAATACCAAACGTGTAACTTCTCTGCACTGAAGCTACAGGCCAACCAACGGAGCTTGATTTAAAGATAATGAAAATGCACTGAAGTTAAAACACTTGAGTAACATCTAACACAGTTAGACAGCCAGAGCATTATAGTCCAAGCTACCAYGACCTAGTAAACACATTTATTTTACTTAGAGGGAAGTCTCAGAAGCTGACAATGCTTTTATTGCTACAGTTTCAGAAACTACAGAAATGTACTAGTTTCCCTATGGACAAAATAGCATTGAGCCTCCTGTTACAGAATCAGTGACTGTCTTGAAATAASTAATTTGGAAAAATAGGAATTGATACCAATGAGACCATTTTTCATTAACTTATATTTAAAATTTCATTATGGCAGGAAGAAAAAAGCCTTAAGAAATATAAAGATTATATGTGTGGAATTTGATAACAGTGCCTTCCTTTCGACCAAACTATGCAAAATTAACGATACCAGGGCTATATTAAGCTCAGTAGTATTCACCGTGTCTTCCCCACATATTATTTAGAGAGGTTTCTTCTGAAGAGGTAGTAAGTCTGTGCCCAGGACTAAAAGTACATAAAGCCAAGTTCTCATATTTACACTTATGAAAGAAACAGCTAATACTTGTGACCGTGGTCAATATTCTATCTTTACAAAAGAAATAATGAGCTCTTTAAAATTATCATTGTGTTGAATCCTGCCACTGCTTCTGTCTGCTGAAAAAATATTGAAATATTTTTCATCAAACCACTGCTAATATCTATACTCTAGGCAAAATCACTCCAAACTGTATTTGSTTGGAAAGTCATATCTGTATTTTACCCAAGCAGAGACTCCCATTGAATGCCTACATGCAGCACACTCAGAAATTCCTGCTAAGGGACTGTGTTCTGCTACGGAGAAGGAAAGAAGTGTAAAAGCAGAAGTGAAAGGAGCAAAACCAAGATGAGAAAAGAGTTTAGGAAGCTGCTCAACTTTTGTCTTATTTTGGGGGCTGGGCAAAAATGTTGTTGTTGTTGTGTTTGGAATACAGGAGAGCTGTCATTCCAGCAGTGGCTGCTGTGCTGGATGCCCTGAGCAATTTGTGTCAGTGAGGAYGGCAGCCCGGCCACCGTGATGGTTGCCACAGGAGGTGGCTCTGCTCGGCAGGGACATTAAACCTTTTATGCACATGTGGCATCGACCGGGCAGACCTTGCAAACCAGAGACAACGTTCCTGCTCTAGGCAGTTTTCAGCATAAATACATAGACATTTACTGCATAGCTGTACGTATATAAAGAGATGAGGGAGACAAAGAAAGAGGACGAGTGCAAAACATGCGAGCGAGCTGATAAGCAAGTGTGGTTAGGACCTTCCCAGACTTCCCCCAATTTGAAAAAGGATCTGATTGACTACATCCTTGAGGTTCCTCTTAAAGACCTTCATGCATTCGCTTCCTTACCTATCTGTACCTGTAAATGTACCTATTCTATAACTGTACAAAAATACACATGCATTTTGGGGTAATATTCTGAGAAGCTGGTGGCAGAGATGCAAATTAAATCTGTTTTGAGACAGACTGACTCATCTGGAGAATACAGGGCAGACCTTCTCTGCTGCAAGCATAAATAAAGCAGCTTTCATTCCCTGCTTCCATTCAGCTGTGAAGGGAAGTGCTGAATGAGTGCTCTTACAAATCCGTGTAAGAATCTGCTTTCCAGGGCTATCTAATGCTTGTCCTCCATTAGAAGGTCTCTTGATACAATTTATGAAGTGGTAATTTTCATTATCCAAAGCTGCCCTCTTCCCAAATTTCCACTGAATGGCCATCAAAGCTTCATTCCTCCCCATAGGTGTAATGCCCAATTTTACAAATTTATGTTTTCAAAGAGAATGCTATTTATTTACTTATTTGAATTTAATGAACAGTGAAAACAAACACAAAAAGTGCAAGTTGAACTAAACTTTCTTATCTCACTTTTTTTAAGAAAAAAATACAAAATATTACATCTTGTAAGAAAAGTGAAGGAAATTGTTAAGAAAAGTGAAATACATAAAATGGAAAAACAGGAAAAGGAGAAGGATAGAGTCCTTTTACCTAGGAGGCACTTGCCCAGGATGTGAGGAGACAGGTTCGGTCCCCATCTCAGCCTGAGCACAGAGCACAGCAGCATGTGCTAAATACTACGCTCAGAAATATTCTGGTGTGTTTTGCTCTCAAACTATGTGGTTTGTGTCATGTATTTGGAATAAATAATTAACTTTCCAGTAGGACTGGGACTAGAACCTAGAAACTGGCTTTTCTACTTCTCTAATAACTGCCCTAACTGTTCACCTTCGGGGTAAATTTCTTGCTGTCAGTTTTATAAAACCACCAGTTCTCTCTCACATATTTTTTTCCAGACAAAACTATTTAGGAAATCCCTCCTGAATTCAGTTCAGCAGCCACCCCAGGTACGTCATCCAGTTAATTTACTGCTTGCTCARTCAAAGGGTTGATGCCATTTGCAGCCAGTTCCACGGCGTTCCCAGCACTCTCTGCCAAGAAGGAGGGAGCTGAAGGAAGCAGAACCCAACACATTTTTTTTCATAGACATATTYGCTACTTTAGCATGACTTTTGTAATCTGGGCAATCTGGATGGAGCAATTTCGTCTACAGATTTTGAATTTTGTAATGAACAGTGAAGAATCCCCGTTTTCTTCAATGATAAATGTTAGCAAATCCTTCAGTGACAGTAAGTGCACAAATAAATTCATAAATTCATAAAATGAAAGAAATCCCATTAATACTCTTTTTGGCTCCCATATACAACTTTTAAAACATTTTTGTTTCACCTRTTCTCTATCTTTCTGAAGAATATTGCGGGTTTCCTGTTAAAATCACTCAAAACATCTGCCTCATGGCTGGACCAATGAATTAATTTGCTATTTTTGTGGTTATTGAGGACAGGTGATATCACGGGCAGTGCAACGAAAGTAACTGATGTCTGTATAAGCCTTTCCAGTTCTCCCTGGGCCAAGCACATTGCCATAATAGCTATTTTTCTGACGGCTACTGACAAAGCAGAGAAMAAATGACAGAATAAACCTGCAGTTTGAATGAGCTCTGCTTCTAAGCTGTGTCATACTTAACATGAGAATGCTTTGATGTCCCATCTAGTTTGTAAACCTTAAGGCACATGTACAGCATTAATGAAAATACTATSAAAAAAACTTAACAGCAAAATGCCACAACAACCCTCAGCCCCTAATCTATCACTACTATAAGGGTAAAAGCATGAATACTTTATTCAAATAGGTCAGGACCTGAAAGAAATCAATGGACTATTTATAAAAGGAAAATGCTATTTTAAACACTAAATTCTATGAAAAAGTTCCTCTACCATGACAGAGGCTGATTTCTACACAACTGAAATATTACTAGGATCTGCCCTGGTGATAATCTTCAAGAGAAATTAAGCATATATGTCTTTGCTATAATAACGTCATACATTTACTATATCCTTGGAGCAACTGAATAATGAAAGCCTCAAACAAGCCACCGATTTGATTATAAAAAATTGAAGGAAAATATGCAGCTCTCGGCAAGTTAGTAACAACAACACACCAGCACACAATTTAATAATCACATAGAAATAAAAAATATTGATTTGAACTTTAAAAACTCATTAAGTCATATATATCATAACTCATTATATGTAATAATAACTTTTCTGCTTCAGACAAATAGGCATTTTCAGAAATTGACATAATTTCACCTCACATTCACAAATCCATACAAAAATGTGAGCGTATATGCACACATAAACACACTGACTCATGCATGCATGCACTAATTCTGTTATGTATTTAAATTATACATGCTGTATGCTGTATTTCTTGTAACATTACTAGGCACTATGCCTGCAAAATCTACAGTTCTTAATTAACAAACATGCAGGTTTATCCAACTGGACTTCACTAATGCACCAGCCTCTCTCATGCTGCTCATGTAAATATATACATAGGCACACCTGTGTATTCATTTAAACAGCTACAGATTTTGTTTTTTAATTGCTCTTGCTAGCAAGAAATGTATAAGGGATTGCACCACCCTCTTGCATGGCATCCTATGTAAGTGAGTCTAACGCCAGTGCACTTATAAATATGGATGTGGCAGACCCCAAACAACACAGTACCTGCTGTCTATCCAACCGCATCCTTTTTGCAGCATTTCTGCTCTCACTCTCACAGGCGGAAGCCAGGATACTCTCTGCAACTGCTGAGGTGAGGTGTGAGGGAATAGGTCGGGACTATGAGAGAGAAAAGAAACACAAAGATTATTTCTAGCATAATCCACGGCRTCCTTAGCAAAGCACTGTCATCTAGGCTGCAAGTCCGCTCATTGAAATGTAGTTTATACCAACAAAAYGGGGAAATGAAACTTGTAAAGATGAAAAATGAAACTAGTTAGATGTTAAAGCTGCAGCTGATCCACAGATCCATGAGAAGCCCTTTCCCCCCACGGCTCTATTGTCCGGTGTGTTTAGTCTGGCTCATTAAGCTGTATTTTGAACAGACACTGGCATAGTCTCCGCGTTCCAGCAACACCCTGATCGTCTGATTCTTGTTAGGAAAACTGAAAAGCTTTTTATCCTGTGGAGCATGTGACAGAGATGAGTAGTGGTTTTTTATAGGCATAAGAAAAAAAAGCAAAACAAAAACCCCAAGTGATAGGGTTGAAACATCATTGAAAACATAACAGATTGTCAGAACATTTCAGTGGAGGCTCAATCTGTAGGATATGCGTATTTGCATTCTTGACTGCAATATGACTGATGTGATTAAAATGACTTCTTCTTTTTWWAAAAAAAACTGCTTTTCTTTTGATAATGTCGGCCTTCCAACAATGTAGATATTTTATGATTCAACTAGATTTGGTTTATTTTTCTGAAACAAACCTCCATTCCTAATTTCACAGTTTTTTAGGTCCAATGCACAATGAATCACAAAAAGAATAAAATAAAATAAGAGAATGCAAAAATCTTTTTAGCTTTATTGCTGGTTATGAATTCCACTATGATCTTTGCTACCAATCCAGTAAAGTACTGAATTGGTTCTTTGGTACTGGTATTGAAAGTAATTCATTCTCACACTTTTTGGCTCCTAATTATCCTAATTACATGCAGATAATATCACAGAAAGATGAAGATCATGCTAAAACCAGTCATCCTCATTAATATACAAAAAAATAGATATAAATCAAGAAAATATCAAGAAAATTCAAAAAATGTGGATAATATCCGGTTCTGAACTACCATAAATTTTCAAAGCTTCATTGAAGTCGAAAGAACTGTGTAAATTATACCTTTTTAGGAACAGGTTATATGTACCTTTTTGTAGAAATCCACCTTTTTACTTCAAACACCATAAATATGAACCTGAAGATGAAATGTTGCTGAGTTTTGGAAGCAAATTTTAAAGTTATTCCATTCAGTACTTAGATGACTTCAGAACAACTTATGGAATTAACTCAACTGATTGGAGGCTATGGAATGTGCAATCAACTTAGTATTTCACACTGTACTACCTCCAGGTCAGTGCTACCTCTGTCTTAATTTATAGTTATCTCCAGCGCTACAGGATTAATTCTCCCCATTCAAACAAGAGCCATCCATTTAGCATCAGTGTAATAACAGTGTAAGGAAGACAGAGGAGGGCTACAATAACACAATAAAATATGACATTTGGATTGATTAGACCAAATTATTGAACTTGTTTACAATTTGCACAACAAAATATCTCCGTGCATTTTTTGGACAAAAGCCAAATGAGTCTAAGAGATGAGGGACACTGATGTTAAACCCTGGGGTCATGAATTGCAGAAGTCAACACTGCAGTACAAGCAGATGCCTTCCTCAGAGCTCCAGAGAAGTGTCTAAGCCCTCCAGGGAGATTTTCTTGGCAAACCACTACATACAATATTTTTGTTTTTAGGATGGGTATGTTACTCCATGTACATCACTCACCACTTGGCTACAATACTGATTGTCTCCATATTAGGTGGCCAAGTATCACTATAGAAGCYGCTGTTTTACTTTATGTTCAAGGCACCCCTATTACCTTGGCTGCATGGAAGTCTCCATTCAGTGTGGGGCTCTAGCAGTGGCCACACGGTGACATTCCAGAAAAACTGTGGGCAAATACCCGGCCAAGTCCTCCTGCTAAGCTTTTAAATGACCATTGTAACCATATATGCATCAGTGAATGTTAGAAGGTGGTGCTTGAGCCAAAAAAAAATTATATTCTTAAGGAAGTAAAATAAACCCAAGTTCCCCCCAGATTATATGTTCATAGGAAGGAATACCGAAGTGCTTATGAAAGGGGAAAAAAATCACCATCAAAATCAAGCAGTCACATGCTTKTTTTCTCTAACAAGAAGGGCAGTAGTTATGCCTACCCGTAGGACACAGCATACAAAAGGATCTGCAGTACTGAGGAAATGTGCCTCCAGATACAGGTCCGTACTCCTCCTGACACCTCTAAGTTCTCTCACTCCTCACTGCAGCTGCCAGTTGGTAAGTYCACGTCAAGAGCTATCATCTAAAGAAACCTTAGGGAGAATGTACYGAATGCAGGGCTGGAGGGAGGAAACCCTGTGACAAGGCGCCCAAGAATCATCTGCCTCAGGCTCCGGGTCTGCCAGTTTAACCCAGGCAGAGCAGAGCTCTGGCGCTGTTTGAGAGGACAAACACGGTCCTCTCTTGCTGATAGGAGAGCTGTGGAAAAGGAGGTTTTGCTCTTCTGTTAAATGTCATATCTAAGAAAGGTCAGAAAGATCAATTTTGAAATGCCTTGCCTTAGAGAGGGGAAAAAAACAAGCTTTGAAATAATTACAATGCTGCTTCTTATTTATTTATGTTTTAATTTGTAAGTAAACTGAATTCAGGGCTCTGTCTTCTAAGCTCAGAGGCCAATTGYAGCTTAGTTTAACAGCTTCTTCTTTGCTTTGATTACACATGACCTGTGCAGTGACTACCAGTTATCTGCACAACATGCTCAGGTGCCCCAGTCCTTGCCGAATTCCCAACATGTCTAACACCTAATCCCAGAGGGAGACACAAAGACCTTGGGAACACGGACCCATCACCAGTAAATTCAGCTTGCAGGCTCCATCCTGCAGGCGGGAGCTGCAGCCTTGAGGATGGTGTTTTCCAGGTTCCCAGGCTCCCTTCTGTATTTCCCAGAGGAGAAAATTTGGCAGCCAAGGAGTTCTTATTTCCAAGGGTGACCAGGTTCCCACAGAGGCCCAGGAACCACAATCCACCCACCAGACTAGCAGGAAACYAGGGTGCATTTTACTGGGATTTGTCAAAATGGAAAAAGGTTGAGAATTTCTTAGAGGAAAGAAAAGCATCAGCAGAAAATTCCTGACCAGCAGCTTCCTATTGCTGTAAATCAGACAATAACTGTACTGGAATTCCACCAGAAGAAGAACTAAGCTTGTAATCTTTATCAAAACAAGGGACTTGCATGGCAAAATTAGAAAGTGGGATAACATTGTTTCCACATAACAAAAATGAAAGATTGAAAAGGCACAAYGGACAATTTTATAGTAACTAAAACGAGTAGATACATAAAATTCAAGAAAATCTCAAAAACAGCATTACACAGACCTTTAGAGAAGACTATATCCATCACACAGCAACAGCAAACAAATTCTCTGGTATTTACTTGCAAACCAGTCCTGCCTGTGACTGAAGCAGAACAGCAGCAACATTCTGAATATGCCCCGTTCCTTGGTTTTGTTCTTCACTTTGGATGGCACCCAATTAATTTTTTCAGCCTCCAGCATATTGTAGGGGGAGAGCACTTTGACAAAAGACATAAGGGCAACCTGGTCGATTTTATGTACATACATAAAATCAAACATGTATCTGCTTTTACCCTCTTCTGGAAGGACTGACAGTCAGGAGATGGTTGATATTCCCTCAGTAACCTGTGGGAAATGGCTTCCAATCCTCTTGTATTTGAAACTGTAATTTCAAACGATTTACACCTGGTTCTTGAGACCACATTGTCACCTTACAGTGGCAACGATGAGGACAAAGCAAGAGGCCCACATCCTGTTGGACAGAAATGTTTCCTCATCATTTCATAATCAAAAAGCCCAAAYATTTTTTGGCAAACTGTTATGGAAAGGACACTTTCTACAATCCATCCCTTTTTGTAGAAAATGTACAGAATATTGGGGAATGTCTTTTTGCAGATTTCTCCATGAAAAATTAGCTGATACCTCCTAACATAGTCAATTATTGTCTGCCTGCTTTAAAGAACATTAAAGTCAACAAAGATCCTTCAATGGCTTTGGTGGTTCGCAGTAATCAAAGAATCCTACAAGCCTTGCTGGAGTGATGGAATAGCCCCGCAAGGTATTCTGCTATTTTAGTAGGCGAAATCAGAAATCCTTGGGCAAGATTCTCTGTAAATTAGGTGTATTAGCCTCGTCTCTGATTCCTTAACATATGAGACTACAATTATTAGTATGCTATACAAAATCCTCACAAATGAAGCACCTTTACTGTATTTTCATGGAAAACATAAAATACTCCTTTTGCCATGTACACACAATTCTTGTATTTCTATAGGGAATCTAAAAAACTGTTGTGTTCTAATTTCAATTGTATAATTTTGGTATAAATCCCTAAATTAGAGCTATGAACACAGATATATTTTAGTCTAAACTACCAGAAGCAGCATATTCACAAGAAAGAAGCTTGCAGTACTATCATGTATGTGGCACTGTGGCTAGATGGGTGTTGTCTTTAAAGCCACTATCTTGGCAKTTTCTTTGAGGCCCAATATTTACTTATAACATAAATAAAAGCCAAAGATGCATATGGCCTTGGTGCTCTGATGCACGCTACAAAAGTCTGAGTCTATTCTGAAAAAAAAGAAGCAATGGGCACCCATACACACCTGCTGAAATACTGAATATCCTGATCTTACTGCATGAATAGCGCCCTGTAGCTTAGGCCAATTGCCCCTGAAAAGGAGAATCTCTCAGTGTGCAATTGCTGCTGGCACATAAGCACAAAACAAGTTACATCCGTTTTTTTCCATAAAAGCTCTAGCATAAATGAATGAATGAGGACATATGTTAACTACTACCGAAACATGAAGACATATATAACATGTTCCATATGAAAATATCCAGAGTGCTTTACAAGAAAGGGTAGGCACTACCTTCAGATGAGGATTTTTTCTCGTTGTAATGCAGACAATTGGCAGAGCACTGACCTGCTCTGCACAG